TGGCACGTCCTAAGGAAAGCTCATTGTGGGACTGGCTCGTAGTGGCTGAAATTCTGCACCAAGGCTGAATTTCGGGAAAGAGACTTCAGATACAGTACTAGGGATCACTTAGGCCTATATAAAAGCATCCAAAAAGCAGCATGTCATGGGACCTTTAAGTGTTTATGTGTGAAAAAGGCAATTGTTAACAAGTGGCTAAATAAATTGAAAAATAAGTGTGCTTAATTGTATTGTATGTGCACTTAAAATAAATTTAAAAACTACTTGCATATAATATAATATAATATAATATAATATAATATAAATATAAATTCGTTTAAGTTTATAAAAAGGCCTCGTTTCACTTCGATGGCTTTCAGCCTCACCCTGCTTCATTCTACTACGTTAATAAATCATTAGCTCATCCATGAACATGATTTCTGCCCGAGTCCCGTTGGGTTGCTTCGGCTGTGGGGATGAAGACGGCAACTCCCATGATTCCACACTCAGTCACGGCGTCATCAAACTACTCCTTTGTTTCTTTGCTTATTTTGAATATGCGCCCTCTAGCGGCGAAAATTACATATCGTGCCTTTAATATGTTTATTATAAATGTCAGTACATTCAGCAGTACACTTTAACCATAATTCAAAAACAATAGAAGTAATAATGAAATTATATATTAAGATGTACTAAAGTACTTAACTGTGTCAAAAAATTTGACTAATTGAATTTAACATACATTTGAACTATAATATATTTTCATTTATTTATGAAATAACAAACAGTTACGTGTCCAAAAATTACAATCAGTTTGCACTTTTAAGGTATATTAATAATGAAATTATATATTAAGATGTACTAAAGTACTTAACTGTGTCAAAAAAATTGACTAATTGAATTTAACATACATTTGAACTATAATATATTTTCATTTATTTATGAAATAACAAACAGTTACGTGTCCAAAAATTACAATCAGTTTGCACTTTTAAGGTATATTAAGCATTCTTTTTAAAATTATATTTTTCACTAGTGGAGGTTGTTGCATATATTAAACTTTTCTTTAAACAGGAAAACTCAACTGCTTACTAGTCCACATTTACAACCTTATTGTGTTCTTGCAAACTCTTCCAACTCAAACTTTCAGAAGCTTAATGGTGGTTAATGCCACCGTGGTGTAGTTTGTTTATAGCCTAACCTTAGCTTTTTCCTTCAGGCGCTTGTATTTAGTCTTGTGAAAATTATCTTTACAAACTAAATGAGTTGGAATCATAAACTTTTGTTGGTCACAGAGCTTATTTCTGCAATAATCCAAAAGCCAATGAAAAAATGGAAAATTTTGGAGGGAACCATGGGGTTATGCAAACTAATGTTCACGCTATAATCTGTAGCCTAGTTACATTAAAGGTGCACTCAATTATTCTTGTTTATGTGGAAGTCATCTGACTTATACTGACACCTAGTAGTGTGGATGTAGCTTCCCGCAAAAGACATGATAGTCAGCCACAATGAATTTATTCCAACAGCAAAACTGTCCAATAACAGGAAGTTGCTGAGAGAAAATATGTAGCTTTCCACTGGTCATGTAATATAAAAATGGCAGCCCCATAAAGTGGCAGCCTCCCACTTAAATAAATAAGCTTTATTAGGCTACTGATATGACTATCTTCATTTAATGTCACTGTACATTAGAAAATTAAAGCCCTTCAAGATCATCACGACCAAATGTGACATACTGTATTAATATTAACACATTAATATTAATATATACCCTTGCAATGGAATAAAGAAAGTCCTCACCCAGAGAATATAGTCCTCTTCCATGAGAGAATATTCCTGACCACCAAGATGAAAAGTCACAGTGGGCAACAACTTGACCAGATTACAGTTGACAGTGTACTGTGAACAGAGGCGAAAGAGACAGAAAATAAGTGATGACTTTAAACCATTCAAAGACAACCGTGTGCTGCATCATTTTGCAAAACCGAAATGACCTTGAACTTCTCACTTAAAAAGAAAGAAAACCACATTTTCCACATTAAATATCACCGACCAAAGTGGCGATGGAAAAAAAAAAACACATCAGCTTTCAATCATTCCATTTGCTCTTCAGACGTTATTTATGAGACTCAGCCAAACCAGACAGACCAAAGCAGCTGTTCCCATGGAGTTGTGCAAGAGGAAAAGGAAACAGAACAATAAGAAACAGGTTTTAATGCTGAACATAGAAGAATTGTTTCACAAAAGCTTGTATGTATGGGATGTATATGGGATGCCATGTTGGCACATGATCAATCACCCTAAGTTTGTTTGGAATGTGAAGGTGTTGAATTTCATAATCATTCGCCTACTAATGTATAATCAGCTCTCACTGCTGAATGTTTTAGAAGGTCCATCATGCATTATGTGCTCTCTGTTTATGTACAACTGAAACACATAGTTCATTTTTTTATGGTTCTGGGAAGTTTGAAGGTTTGCCACTGCTGTTGAGATTTACGGATTTCATTAAATTGTTTTCAAGGTTTAAATGTGGGCTTCTTCAATTTTCATAGTTTCTATTACCAAGTAGTGGATTCATATTTTTTCTAGTTCTTAGTATATTGGCTTTTAAAAGTCACATATTTTACATCTTTCTGGAGTGTAATTTTAAGTCTTGATGTCCTTAAGAATACATATTTGCGGTATAAGTACCAAAAACCATCTCAATATATTTTTACAGCTCCTCTCTCAGGAGCTCTGCAAAGAACAGGTCGATTTTGGCCTGTCTAATTAATATTCATGAGCCTCTCTTCTGATTGGCCTGTTGTTTTCTGAGTGACGCACGGCCAGGCCAACCACAGGTAACTAGGGTCATGTAGGCTGTAGCCTGCTGTGGATTGATTACTAACAAGGTCAATAGAAACACCGGTAATGATGGTCACTGCTGAGGGAAATGATGTCTGGCCGCACGTTTGAGCCGAACTCAGACCCCGAATCAACGGCAGGAGACAACCAACCACCTCCTCAAACGCGCTTAAAATAGGATGTTTCAGAATGGTAATTCATGTTTTTTTTTTTTTTCAAACACCGAATGCAGTAAATACAAACCTGCCCAGCCGAGCGTTTGCGAT